TTCTCGCAGTTCATGTCGACTCTGCCTCAGGAGGCTCAGGAGGCATATAGGCGACGGTTTATGACAGATTAGGTAATATATATACTTTATTTTTTTAATTTATGAATTAAATATATAATTCTTACTTAGTTATGAATTTTTTTCGTGACTAAATGATATCATACATACCGATACACACCGATACAAACTGTTACACACAAACCCTAACTCTAACCCTAACACAAAGCCAAAAATATATACTTATAATGTTTTTATGTAATGGTAGTGTTGATGGTGCGTGCGTGCGTAGTGGTCGTTATTGTGTTTGTGGTTGGTTGGTGGGCTGGGGTTGGGGGATTTGTTGTGGTTGGTTAGTGGTGTTGGTGTGATGGAGGGGGGGGGGGGGAGTGATGGTTGGTAGGTAGGTGGGTGTTAGCGATTTGTGGTGGTGGTGGTGTTGTTGTGTTGTGGTTGTTTGGTGGTGGGGTTGGGGGATTTGTTGTGATGGAGGGTGTGAATGGAGGGGAGACGGGGTTGGTGGGTGGGTGGGGGCTTTGTGTCGTGGGTGAGAAGGGGAGTAGGGATTTGGTGGTGGTGGTTGGAGGGGAGGGGGTGGGGAGTGTTGGTTGGTGGGTGGTGGATGGGGGATTTATATTTATATTTGAACACTCTTGTTAATGGTTACACACTCTTGTTAACGTTTGATTCATATTTGCAGACCGTGACTTCGAGACAAGGTGGAACCGGGGATAGTCATAGTGGAGCTGGTGATGAGGATGATGATGATCATTAGGAGGAATGATTTGGATTAATTTAACTTTGAAAATAATGGATGTGTTGTATAAACAATATTTATTATGTACATGCAAGGATATTTTTATTTGTTTTTATTGAAATATATGTGTTATATATGCGTGGGAATGAATATTATATTGCTGATTGAACATGGTTTTTAAATTTATTATTGATATTGTACATGTTTTTTCAATTTTCAAAATATTTTTAAAAAAATATTGGTCATTTTTAGCGATGGCCAATCCGTCGCTAAAGATTTATTTAGCAACGACAAACAAACACGAGAAAAAAATAAAAAAATATCTATAGTGACGGCCAAGCCGTCGCTAAAGATTTATTTAGCGACGAAAAACAAACACGGGAAAAAAATATCTTTTAGCGACGGATTGGCTGTCACTAAAGATATATAAATCCGTGGCTAATACTTTTTTCTTTTTATTTTTTAAAAATAGTACGACGGAAAACCTGTCGCTAATTTCCCGTTGTTGACCTTTAGCGACGGGAAATCCATCGCCAAAAGTCCTATTAGGGACCCTCAATGTACAGACGGTAATTTGACGACGGAATTCTTTTTGATCCGTCGCTATAACTTTTAGCGACGGATTTTTAACCACGGATTTGTCTGTCGCCAAAAGGCATTTTTTGATCAGGTTTGTTGTGTTATCATCTCTGACTTATGATCTCTTGAAAAAAGTTGTGTGCGTAAATGTGTAACTCCATATTCATCTTTCACATTTTCACGTTTTCTCTTATTATATTGCTCCTTAGGCTGCGTCTCCCTCCAATACAGTCAACCTTTAATCAATCACAATAATCGACTAATCTCTATGATGATGTGGGCCTCATAGGATACAAGAGTATGACGTTGCAGGTCTTACCATGCTTAATAAGATTATATTATTCTTCATCAACGACAAATATAATCTCGGCCTCGACATTTTTGGGTTTGTTCGTCCTATTATCCATCTACCTTGGTAGTATATGCTTGACTCTGTCGGGCTCATGACAAAAAAGAGTGTTTTTATTTTTGGGTCTTTCATCAACGTGTTGATGGTGACGGTGACTCTCTCAATGGAGGTCATTGCTCAGATGTTGAGGTTAATAAAATTTCATCGAAGCATGAATGCTCAGATGTTGCTGCTCGGTATATGATTGTGAGTTGTTTGTTTTCACAAGGGATGTTTGTTAGTCTATTAATGTTAATAAAATCTCAAATGAGCAATTATCTACTATTTGCATATTCCTAAAGATATAAACATATAATCAAACATCTCATTGTCTCTAATGTAGAAAAACTAATCACCCTTTATTATAGGCAGTTATAGGCAATTAATGCGTTTCTTTTCTTTAGGTTTCTTAAATTCTACACTCTTGGCACCAAATGGAATGAATTCATAGTGTTTTGAGAAAGAAATTTCAGAAATGGATATTAATTTGAAAGCTTAGTATTGAAATCTTAAAAATCTTTCCCTCAAAATCTACATGTTTACTTGAGTTGTCCTAGGTTAAAACTTACAAACTAGATAATAAAGAGGTGATACCATGCTATGGATTTGGACAAAAATGTTCCCTTTGGCAAAAATGTTTAAGAGAAGTTTCTATTAAAACAATAGTTATATAATTTTGAAAAGAAGTCTTACTTAAAACTTCTTTGAAACTTAGTTTAATAGAAATTTTTATAAGGACATGTACAAAATTAGTTTTAATAGAAGTTTTAAAAGGATATTAGTTCTAAGAATTTCAATACTAATATGAGTTTAAAAAGGACAAAAAAATTAGAGTTTTAAAAAGGAGATTTACATTAACTAAGTTTTAAGATTTCTATTAAAACTAAGTTTTAAACTGAAAAAAATAATGATTGAGTACTAAGTTTTAAACTGATAAAAAAATTATGACAGCTCTATAACCCTATCTAATTCTCATGAAATTATAGAAAGAATCAAAGACACAAACTCAACAAAAGTTTAGTCCATACCTGCAAAAGTAAATGCCTACAAAAAAACCCATCTTCGTCCGATAATATGATTTCAACCATGCAACTTTTGTGACCAAATGATTCATTGGTAAATGAACTCTAAATTATATTAATTTTCATCCATGAACATTTTAGAACTCAAAAGATGTTAGACACGGTACAAGATTAAGAAAAGTGAGAATCATGAAATTTGAGTTATCATATGTTAAGAAATTTCCACTGTTGTTGTTCGAAAATTCTTAGTTGCTTATGGAGCAGTTAAGATGCATGCACTATGCATCTAGGTGCTCCATGAGCATCTAAGAATTTCTTCTTGTTGTTTGGTTGCGCAGATAGGGCCGAGGTAATTATGACAATCGGATTTGTGCTTCAATTATTTGGCTTGCAACATAGCAATTAAGAAAGGTAAATCATGGTTTGTAGAAAAACAAAACCATCATCAAATATTGTAGCTAATTTAAAGGGTGCAAAGCTGCAGATTTCAAATAAAGAAATGGAAAAAATTAATTCCCCTCGTAAAGTAAAGTCATTATCTTTCAAATAGAAAAATCATCTACCTTCACATTTCCCAAATAAGAAAATCTTGTAACTTTTTCATCATTATTTTCGTAAAATGTTATTGAAAAAATATTTTCAATAATAAAATATCAGATATCCAAACAATAAATTATAGTTTAAATATAGCAAGCAACATTTGCTGTTGTAATTGTTGGTACAATCCATTTTCGGGCCAAACGACAAGTATTTAACAATTTAATATTACCGCTTCTGCTAATGATTTACTTATATTTGGAATTGGAGGAATGAAAACTGAAGGCCTCTTACAAGATTTTTGTAAATTCATTAGCATTACCAATTTACTAAGATAAATTGGGCAGGTTTATCGTAAGGCCCATTAAATCAATTGTTGGCAAAGGCGTGCTTCCTACCCTTTTAGAGCGCGTTTGGTTGATCCAAACTCCAACACAAGAGTTTGATTTGGTGGCATTACAAGCCCCGAGTGTTCGTCGTAACACTAAAAAATCTTCAAAATATTAGTGCTGCAGCATCATCCAAATTGATGCTTGTTGTTACATGTGTTGGAACACTTCTATTTTCACTTTCTTCTTTTTTCCTCAATTAATTTTGGAAATAGAAATAATTGATGCTCCACCTTCAAATTTTATTCTTTTGACGAATTTCATTATTTTTGGTATAAAGTATGAAATATATTAGATGAAAATAAAAATTATTTTATATAACATATTTCTAATATAAATTTGAACAAAAGTCACTTTATTGTAATTTTTTTTGTTCTATAGTTTTAGCGAGTTCCTAAATTTTAATTGATGAAATTCACGTGGAAAACGTGAAAATATTCCGACATATTTAAGAAAAAAAATTAATTTTTTGGTAAAGAAAATTATAAAAATAGATAATATGAAACTCAATAAATATTATGCCAAAAATTACCTTTTAAATATATTGTAAAAACTTCATTATTTATAAAAAAAAATATGTTTTCTGAAATTTTTGAAAACAAAATTCAACTTATTTTTGGTTAAGTATTTTTAAAAAAAAAATATTATGTTGTCTGATATGAATCAGGAGGAATCCATTTTTTTTGAGTTGCGTATTTACAATTCCATGCAACCAAACATTGATTATTTAACACGCGTAGTTGAACTAACGTATTAACCAAACATTGATCAAAACAATATGTTATTTGATCGTAGTAACGGAGAATTGAAAAATGACTCCCGTTTTCATTTTTATCTCGTTTGACATTTAGCAAGTGAACGAAAAATGATTTTGTGAAATAAAAAATAATAAGAAAGTATCCTCATAAAAAACTCTGTTTTTTTTTTTTACTTTTTACTTACCTTCGCTTTGCCAAACGTGCACATATAGCGAATTGTCTGAAATATTGGGTTGGATTTTGTTTTGGACCTTGTGGACCACTTTTTATAGCGGGTATGAACCTCCCAATATCCGACCCGTTTACATCCTGCACGCGTTAGTCTCCAAGTTATTCCTCATTTCTCCGTTGTCCATTTTATTTCAGGTTTCTAATAATTTTCCTTCGCGTTTCTCTCTGATCCCTCGATGGCGAATCCTTTCTACGGTTCTGGGCCTTTGCGATCCAGGTAAACCCTAATTTATGCAGAGCGCCCTCAGTTTCGTTAAGTTTTCGACCAATTTCTCTTTTTTCCCCGACTAATTTCTTTAAAATTATGAATATTTTGCAAGGCCGGCGGGGAATTCAGATGAAATTCAGTTGCAAATCGATCCGATTCATGGCGATTTGGACGAGCACGTCACTGGTCTCCATAAAAAGATTCAAAAACTTAAAGGGGTTAGTTATCATCTCTTTATCTTCTCTGTTTTTTCGATTACATGATTCCGAAATATACTATTCTTGAAACAACTTTGATCAGGTCCTGCAAACCTTAGAATCAGTAAAAATTTTGAAAGAAAGAATTTGAGTATCTTTCAATTAGATTATGAGGGCGTATTTAGATACGTGAGTTTGTGATTTGGCCTTGGAGTTTTGTTTATAGACATGATTTAGATTTGAGATTGTCTTGTTAAAGAATTAGATTTTATATCATATTCATGGTAATTGTTGGTAGTAAAATTTTGGGATTACTTGCTAAATGCGCTACATGTATTTGAGAGCAATAATTTATTGATTAAGACCCTTTCAATTCCGCTTTATCAGCATCCTAGAATTTTCTTGATGTAGTAGGGTAGGTGAGTTTATTGTTGAAAGTCGAGAATGCTCCTAATGTATGATGGTCGATATCAAATAGTGCACAATTAACCCTCTTTTGCTTATGCCTGCCCGATAGTAAGTTTAAATATTCTAAACACATTCATACAATGTTTTTGCATCAATCTTATATATAGTTGATATTGTACTTCTTTTATACATTTTAATATTTAACATTTTAATATTTAATATCAAGTAATTTGCTCTTTAATCTCTGTTGATTACAGTGATCTCATTTAAAACTTTGATCCTCTTTGACTTTTTCAGATCACAGTAAGATCATTACGTAATTTGGCGATTTTCTCTTTACTTTAAGCATCTCTAGTTGATTTTATATCCTAAGTTGAGATGGTTGATCTGACTGTTAGAATATTCTATTGATTAGAGCATTGCAGTAGTTAAAAATGTGATTGCAATTCCTGCTTAGTTGATATTGATAAATGCAGTAAACTAGACTGTCTATGAATTAGTACACCCTTATTCCCTTTTTGCAATAATTTCTAAATTTACGCCTATTATATTAGTATCAATTGTTAAGGTGTTAATAACAGTTTTTATTACACAAATGCGTGTGTTATGATATGCTTGCGTCACATACATGAGGATAAATCTGGATTGTCACAACATTTTTATGGATTAACATTTATATTAGAAAAAATATTTTTGGCATTATTATTTTGTGAATTGCTTCAATTACTGAGTTGTTGCTTACGATGTTTTGCACAAATGTGATACTTTATCATGCACACGTCCCCTGCACTGGGAGTATTAGTTTAATATCAAGAGAAGGGGATATTTTAATGACAAACTTGTGTATGCATGCTATTTGTTTAGAGTTTACTTGAGTATCATAAGAAAGTGGCTCGCAAGGCATCATGGCTGATGTTGTTTTAAGATATTCTTCATATTACATTCTACTTGAGTTTTTTTTCTCTTGAAGTAGTGTCGATCAACAACAATGGATAGAAGAGGAAATAGCATTTAACATAACTAGATGCTTGTTCTTGCTTTAATAAGGTTATGGAAAGCAAAGAAAAGATTTCCTAACTAAAAGCAACAAATGAAAACCATCATGTTGTTTTAAGTTCCTTTTGATAGAAGATTAGAGGCAAATATTGGGGTTTATTGTTTGCAATTATGCTAACAGAAAAGAGATTTTATGAATCTTGCTGCTTTTTACCATGTGCCTATTGTAATTTAAGTCACACTCCAAATGAAAAACCCTGATAGTCTATACATCAAACATCTCAATTTCAAGATGCTGGGCGTTGGTCAGTGCACATAAAACCGTAAAAGGTCAACTTTGCCTCGCTTCTAAGTTCTAATAGAGCATCCAGGTCAATGTTATAGCTAAGGACGCTTTGCCTGGATACAAGCCTACAACCTTTTGTATCATTTCAAGTGGATATAGTTCCTTTCATTTTCCATAAACAAGACAGACCTTGAACTTTAGGTGGATAGATCTTTTTTGAATTTGACAATTGAATAGGTTTTTAATATCTGCAGGGGTACCTACTGTATGGACGTGACCGATCCTTTTCATTGAAACTAGTTTAATGTAGTATTTATCTGCATTTTGTGTTCAAATTATCTTCTAGTGTCATTCTCGTATCATAAGCAAGATAATATGTAAATTGATGTGCATGCAAAGTGAGGAGGAAGAAGGATATGCATCAATATTCGCCAGAGAAAGGTGCACACGCACGTGTGTGCCCGTGTGTACGTGCATCGGGGAGGGAGGGATGAAGGGAGAAGGGAGGAGGGCGGGGTGGGTCCAGAGTGGTTTGTTTGGGGGAGGGGGAGAGTCTCCAAAAAATCTAGAAAAACATTCTAAGTACATCATGTTCAACAAGAAAAGAAGCCAAAAAGAGTGCATGTAGAAATGAATTGCACAGTGTCTCATCATTTTCTGGCCATCAGGTGAATATCTGATATTATGGCCAATTGGCACTCATGCATGGTAAACTGCTTCATGACTTTTCTTTTAAGCTGTAGGTCCTGAATATATGGTTCCGTTTTACTAATATAATAGTTCATAGGCATTGTTTCTTAAAGATAGCAATTAACTAAACTAGTGACTAATATAATGTTAAATTTCATTTTCACATGAAAAACAGTAGCAGAATGTATAAAATGCGTCCTGCAGCCTCATCAAACCTCATACAACATATTTTGTTACATGCTCAACCATTATGTCATCTTAAGTTTCTAGAAGTTGCATGGACAATTATGTGTTTAAGTGCAGGCACTTTCCAGTTTAAATCTCTCTGCTATAAGAATATTTGTTTTGATGTGAAGTAGTCAGTGGCCTACATTATCTTTATACTTGTTTTTTTCCTATGTATGAAAAAACTATTGCGTACAGGTCTTTTACATGTATATCCCTTACATCAACCATATTTTAAAAGAAAAAGGTTCTAATATCAACATATTTGTCAATTCAACTCGCAACTCATGCAGGGCCTTATAATTTCACTAGTCCCATTAGTTGTTAGTCTTTGCAAAGAAAGAAGATTTGAACCTTCCCTAGTTTTGTGGGCTAGTGGTTTCATTGGTTGGAAGCAAATATCATTTTCTATTTAGTCCTCTTGTCTCCTTGACCGTCGAAAATTGCATGAAATTCTTGCCTGGAGCGCTGTTCTGGACATCACGAAAAATCTGCGCAACAGGCAATCTCCTGTAGTCTTAGGACTGAAAAACAGCATAATCGTACCTCTTTTTTTGTTGATTCTATGTTTAATATGAACATGGTATATCTTCTGAATGGTCCAATTCTACCCTTCTCCTTCCCCTTCTTCCTCCAACTAAAACTCATAGAACAGGAACACCTCCCTTCTTTAAGGAATGAGACTACTGTGTATATTTTTGCCAAATATGATTTGGAAGATTGTTTTGGGAATATGAAAGATTCGATGAGTGCATATAAAATACACTTTTATTTGCACTTTTTTGTGGTATTAGTTCCATTCATTGCTCTGTTCCATTTTCTTTTTCAAGTGTTTAATTTGTTGCTATTTAAACTTGGATTTGCAGGTAGCTCAGGAAATTGAAACAGAAGCGAAGTTCCAGAATGACTTTATAACTCAATTGGTAATCTCAGATTTTAAATAAAAATTTATGGTTATTTATTTCCTTTGCATGTTGAGAATATATTAGTGGTAAATGAATTGTTGCCTCTATCAACTTCTTTTGATTATTCATTCATAATCGTAAGAAAAAGTGTTATGCCTGTATATATTTCATCTGATTTTTGGCACGCATTGGGTATTTCATGTTTCCAACCAGCTACCTAAGAGCTTAGAAACATCTTTCTGTTTCCAACCAGCTACTTCAAAGCTTAAAAAAAATCTTTATTACATTTGCTTGGTCTGGAAATCTCTGTTTTTCTTGTTTATCATTTAAAAATGATTTGGTTCATTTCAATCTTAAAAAGACCTTAATTTATGATTTGGATGGTGACTCTTAGTTTGTTGGATTGAAGTACCAAATAAAGCAGGTCCTGCAACTGGATCTTGCAGTTACCAAATAAAGCAGGTCCTGCAACTGGATCTTGCAGTATCCTTTCGTTAGTTATCAAATCTAAAGAAATATTGCCTTTAGCGACTATTCTCTATAGCTCCTCTGATCAAGTGTTTGATGCACATATTTCTTCACTACTATAATTTGCATTGCCAGATATTTGAAAAGATTCACAATGTATATGCTGTATTTTTTCAGTTTCTTTGGCTGATGTTGGTAGGCTGCTCACAAGTCTGTATTAAAAAATGTATGTGGCAGAGTTACATGGTAAATGAAAATGCAATAATGATTATGTTTTTTCGGCTAAACAAATGCAATAATGATATCATTTTGCAATATTTGATAACCTTTTGACATGTGTTTTTCATTAAAAAAATCAAATTCTGATCTTGATCTTCAAAAATTTCCAACTTTGATCCATATATTTCTCATCTTTTTCCTAAAAGAAATAATTGCAGTTTTTTTCTTGGCACAAATAGTGCATCCAATATATTTCTTTTTTTTCGCCTTGTCCTACTAGTATGCCAAAGCTTTTGGTGTCAGGTTGAGAGCCCTTCATCTAACCTTGTTGAAATTCTTGTCCTACTAGTATGCCAAAGCTTTTGGTGTCAGGTTGAGAGCCCTTCATCTAACCTTGTTGAAATTTTACCTTAATAATTTGAGCAAAACGGAAAGAGTTTGTAGACTTTTAGTTGTGGCACTTAATCTGAGAGTTCTCAATTGTAATTTGGTGCAGTTGTTGAAAAGTCTAAGCATAGGCTACGTTTTGGTTAAGATATTTGTAGCAGGATTTTTTTTGTTTAATAAATTTCTTTATAAGTGGTAAACCATAAAGCTATTTAAATGTAACTTCTGAGCGTCAATACATGTTGCAATGGTTTGTTTTAGAGCTTGCTAATTGTCTCTTCGTGCATATAAACCTGGAAATTCTTAAGCACATGGATCCATGTGATTATTAGAATATGAACCATAAAACTCTTATCCCATACTTAATCAACATTTCAGTTCCCTATGCTCACATTGAGTTAGTTTCAGTTATATGAATGTCAGACAACCGGATACTTTCAAGACCTAGATTCATATTCACTATGAATATTATATCAGCGGAAAAGCATGAAACAGAGCTTTCGAGGAGTTTGAAGGAAGGAACAGGTGTTGGGGCTCACCAGGTTTTTGTATGTCTCCAATTGACTTATAAACCAGTTGTGGCCTTTGATTAGGGGTCGTGATTGAACCTAGGGGTGTCCATTTGGGTCCAAGGCCCGTGCTCGGATAACCCGGGCCGATCAGGCTTCGGGCCCGAGTTATCTTAGTGAAGCCCGGGCCCGGCCCGGTTATAATATATATAATATTTTAATATATTTTTGTATATAATTATATTATGATATGGTCATTAATGTGTGTGTATATATATACTAGATTTTATGCACGTGCAATACACGTGGTTAAATACTGTGATTAGGTATTTTTGGTTTATTTTCTTACTAAAATTTGTTTGTTGGTTACTTTTTGATAATTTTTACTCGCTTTGATTAAGTATTTTTGATTTATGTTCTTACTAAAATTTGTTCCTCGATTATATTTTAATTATTTATTTATTTGATGTTTGTTTAAATAGGCTACATCCAGTTTAAATTTTTATGTTGATAGTTGAATTGACAGAAGATAAATATAATCTAAAGCTAATTTAAATTTTTATTTCATTTGGATCGGCATGAAACCGATCTTGACATGAGGAAGTATAGTGTTATGAAAGTGAAAACAGTTAAAAAAAATAACATTATAAAAAGAAGATGAATAATAAATCTAACGAGCCAAGATGATTGATTTAAAGTGGGCTAAAATGATAAAAAATAGTTAATGAAAAAAAAATCATAAACTAAAGATTAATGCTAACTCTTTTACATTTTTATATGATAAAAACATCCACATATACGAAAGCACTAAAAATAGTTTATGAAAATTCATTCTAAAAAATAAAACTATTCTATAACAATCCACATATACTAAAAAAATAAAACTATTCTATAACAATTCACAAAACATTATCTTTTGTTGCTTCTATTTTATTTTAATTGAGTCAAGATCAATCCTTCTTTATCTTTATCTTTTTCATGGGCAATTCGTCTTCATCGTCTACATCGATTGTGATATGAGACTGGAGCATGTTATTTTTTCTTGGGCTCATTTATCTTTTGACTTCTCGTCTAAATTCACAAAGAAGTTGAATATATTTCTTATATTCAACACAAAGTTCTGACAATACGGACTTTGATTTTTTCCAATTTCAATAAGAATAAATGCTAATTTTATATATATGAATTTTTTGTGCTTTTAATTTATTACTTAAATAAGGTTAGGAGCTACATCTATTTTCTCTGCAATGAATTCTTCTATTATGCATCCAATAAGAATTTTTGTTGTGTCATAATGACACATTTGCTTTGTATGTGTCATTTTCCATGAGGATCTAAACTAAATACATTACATTTTTATTGTTAATTTGCTTTAGATTATAATATTAATATTTAATTTTGATATATTTATTTAATGAAGAAGGGATATCACTTAACCTTGGTACTACATCAGCGATTTTACAACATTTATCATCTAGACACTTATTATTAACATCTCTATCCACTTGTTGCAGTCTTTGCAAACATAGAACCACTGTTCAACTCTATTATAAATGGTAGTTATCATTGCCTTAAAGGTGCGATAGTGTGTTTGTATATTGGTAAATTATTCTTAGGTTTAATTGTATGAGTTTTAGAGTAGTATTCTAAGATCATACCTCTTTTGAATTTTATAATGGTTGTATATATTAGTAATTTGAATTTCTTATGCATTTATAAAGAGCTTTAATGAAGATGCTTTTGTCTTGGCAACTTACTCTAAAAGAGCGCTGCATATTAGCTTTAAAATATAATATTTTTTCCTTTATGGTGTTGTATAGATGTTTGCTTGGTTTACTTACTATTCTTTTATTTCTTCAGTAAATTGTATCTTTGGATTGGTATATATTATTGACACAATTTATAATGATATGCATATCTCTTCTATAGCTTTGAAACAGATATAAGGTGAATTTTATATTTAGTGGCATTTAATAAGAATTTTAGTAATGAAATACACTACCTTTATATTTAGAGATCTTGAATTCTAATAGTGCTATTACATCATTATCTTTGATCGTGTCTTTAAGAATTAATCATTCGTTAGTAGTCATACCCCTAAATAAAGTCACTCGTGGTCGTGATACTGTATCAGAAAAAGAAAAAGGTCAATTTTATATTTTTTTGCTTAGGCAGAGTCATGACATAGTAATTTTTCTTTTATCTTCCATGAAGAATGTTTCTTTAATTGGAACAAAGTTATGCAATATATTCTTCAAGGGGTATTCTGTCGGTGTTTCTTTGATAAATATAACTTATGTTAGTGTTAATTGAAGTGATCTATGGACGTTTCAAATTCCATTTGAAATAAAAACTACTTGATTCTTTTGAAGGATGTCTCTAAATTTTCTAATAGTTCTTCATACATAAATCTTTATAATTTTTTACCCTATAACATATTATTACCATTAGAGATCAATATTTATAAATTATAATTAATTAATATTAAGCTATTATATTATAATATTTTATTAGTTTTTTGTGATTTAGTCTTCTATCAATTAATGATACTTATGTATTTTTGCTGCTCTTAACATATTGGTAAAATTATATGCATGTACTTTAATTTATATGACATTAATTTTTAATCTATTATATATTTTTAAAAAATTTTATTCTTTAACTTGATATTTTAATTTGTTATTATTACTATTTGTTTTACCAGTATCAACTTGACTATTTTCAGATTCTGAAAAAGAATAGTAAACTTTAAATTATAAGTTATATTTATATATCTTAATGAAAGAATATCACACAATTACTCTTTTCTTTGCCAAGTTCTAAATTTTCAGCTTTTAATTTCTATAATTTTAAACTTTTGAGAGTATTTTGTCTAATTTTTAAAATTTTTTTATTTTTTTGATAATACTTCATGTAATAAACTGATACTATATTTTATTAATCTTATTTAAATTGTTGAGCTATAGATAGTTCATGGGGTATTAAGATAGAAGATGAGTATGATTAAGATAGATTATAATTTAAATTAAATATTTAAAATAGTACAGGGTAATTTTGATTATGAAAAGCTTTTCTCGAACTCGTTCTTTTAAAGGTAGTATGTTTTTTATTTTGCTTTTTTTTTTTTAAATAATTTTGAAAATGTCTTTTGTCTCTTTAATTTGTTTGGTGAATTTTGTAAATATTCCATTCACATTATGTATATTTGTAGGTCTACGTTGTTCCCGGGTTCGACATTTGGGGTAGACATTATTTGTCTCATTAATTTATTTGGTTTTTGCATACATGCCCTTTATTTTGTAGACATTTGTAAATTTGGCATTAAATAAATTTATTTCGTGTTACATTTCAATTTAAGTTGTATCCTTATCTTTACTATGTATATCCAATAAGAATTCAATAATTTATCAACTTACTCTTAATTAATGTAATGTAGTTATATGTATATTAATATGTGTATATTATATATATATATATATATATATATAGGCACACACACTTTTAGCATGGTATAGATACTAAGATATAAGACTATAAATATATATAATGTAGTTATAAGTATATTTATATGTGTATATTATAGAATTACGGCTATGTTAGTATATAGAAGCGCATAAATATAATTATATATAAGTATATTGTATCTAGTATATATAAAAGTATATCATATAAGTAAACTGAATAACTGTACTTAAATAAGCATAATGTAAGTATGTAATAAATACATATATAATATATATTTATGTGATTCTCTCTCTCTCAAGTTACAACTTATAAGTGTATACAATATATTTACATATAATATATATATGTATAATATATAGCTATACACACACACACACTCTTAGCATGGTATAGTCTATAATTGTGATGCGACAAATTCTAAAATAAATTTATAGTTAGTGATTAACTGATTATTAATAAAGAATTTATTTTTATCATTTTAATTTTTATGACTTTTTGTAGTTGTAAATTATAATTACAAGTGATTAATAATATGATTGATTTTTTATTAAAATTTTGCTTAATTTATAGTTATTTACTCTTGAAATTTTCTTTAACAAAAAAAATTAAAAAAAGAAAAAAGAAGAAATGACCGAGCCAGCCCGGTGCCCGGTCCGCTTTGGCCGGGTTCGGGCCACGAGTTTTGCCTGGCCTGGGCCTGGTTTGCCAGGTTGGGCCGGCCCGGCCCGACCCGTTTGGACAGACCTAATTGAACCCGAAGTCTTGTAAGCAAGGAATGTTATCAAGTCACAAAGTTTCTAGTAGTTGCATTTGTTTAAATAGAGGAGTTGGTTGTTAGGAAGAAAAGAAATGGTTCTTTAAGG